ATAATAAGGACTCACTGTGGGTTTCTGCAAAGGTGGGACAACCCAGGTTGGGCTAAAACAGCTCCACTTGGCAGGGGAGGGGTCATTAGGAGCCACCCCAGAGGCCGTGCTAGCTGGGGTGAGGGGTGATTTCAGGGTCAGGTCTGCATGCCTCCTCATCACCTTTGGCCTTCAGGATGCAGTGGCATGGTGTCAGCGTGATGGTGGTTTTTATGTGTGAGTTGGGGGGCGGGGGGCATAGGGTTAGGAGATGATTCAGAGGGCTCCAGAGGAGATGTCCCTGTGGTCCCCCAGGTCTGCCCCCTTCTTCAGCCCTTCCCCAAGAGTCTTTGCAGAGACCACCAGACACTTCTGGGGTTCTCAGGTGGCTGCTTTGTAGCTCCACCCTGGAGCATGGGCCACTACCGGAGAAAGGATACTGACAGCATTTAAAATCCCCTTTCCGTGGAGATGATAGAGCTTTTCAGAGTGCTAGTCTCTGCAGAGTGGGAGCAATTTCCCTGTAATTGGTAAAGTAACCGTAACTGCTCTGTCATTTGTATGTGGCGACACGTAATTGCACAGTAACCTTTGCCGCTGTGTGCAAGGGAAGCACGGTGAGCTGTTAGATTGCAATTCGGAGTGCCAGTTCTGGCTCTCATGCCACCTCCACCCCTACTCCTCAAGGAAGCCCTGGGAGAAGCCGCTATGGGCCTCTCCACATCCTGGTCCAGTGGGTCCTACTCCAGAGAGGGAATGCTTGTCACCTGTCATTCATGACCTCAGTTCACCTCCATGGTGAACCTGACCAGAGCTTCTCCAATGTTAGCGTGCAGCAGAATCACTTGGGAGGGTGTTAAGATGCAGATCTCTGAGCCCCACCCCAGTGTTTCTGATCCAGTAGGTCTGAGTAGGGCCCAAGAATTTGCATTTCTAATGAATAGTGCTAAATCTTCTGGATTTTAGACCATTCCTCTGCTCTTCCCTTCAACCTCATTGATCTGATAGATCTGTAGGAAGTTCCACCTTTGCTATTTCATCTTGATAATACCTATCTGAGGTAGATGTGATGAATTTCCCCAGATGCCAACTCACCAAGGTTGTGTGAATTGTCAATGACAAACAGTAGTAAGTTTGAACACTCCCATAACCCTTATGAAATGCCAGACATTGTCCTACATGTACTAACCCATTTACTCCTCATAGCAGTATATACTGGTATTACTATCCCATTCTACCCATGAGAAACTGAGGCACAGAGAGCTTAAATAAGTTACCCAAGGTCACACAGCAGTAAGTGGTAGAACTGGGATTCAAACCTAAGCATTTTGGTTCTAATTCCAAAGTGTTAGCCATTGTGAAAGTCAGGCTTTTATTTAGTCATCTATCCATCCATTCATTTAACACATATGTTTTAACCTACTATGAACTTGCAACTAAGCCAAGGGTACAAAGATACATAAAACATGGTACCCTGGAATCCAGTGGGTCACCAGTCTTAATTTACAGCCCATGTATCCCATGAGGATATTTGTGGAAAGCAGATCTGGTATCCTCCTGATTGGGGTAGAGGGACCCTGAAGGGTGTGGCCCTAAGACTTCAATATCTCTTCACAGAGTTGCCCAAGTAGGTACCACATATATTCCCATGAAACAGACCCTATTTCTTTCCTTTGTAAGAATGAAGTTGCTCTCCAATAAACAGTCATTATAACAGTGGCCACAGCTCACTCATGGCTATTTGTGGTGTGGTGGGAGGGACGATTGCGATGTGGGCCTGCAGGCGAGGCTGGGCTCCTGATTATAGCCGAGGTGAGTCCCTTCCTGGCTCCTCTAGCCGCTGCTCTAATCTTGCTGTTAATGGGGCCCAGGGGAGAGCTCAGCCAGGGCTGGAGCAGACACTATCCTCCTGCTTGCTCAGGGTGCTCAGGAATCCATGCCAGCCCTCACCTGTGGAAGCTTTCTCCAATTAGCCTTCCCTTCTAGGGCCCCCCTGTCCTGGCCTCTGCTCCCTATACCTTGGCCTCCTTGAGTCTGTGGGCCCATGGGACGCTCTGCCTTCTCCTCCCGGTGCTGTCATTTTCCTGCAGCTGTAGCTCAGACCTGGCGGGTTGTGTCCATGGAGAGCCATGCTCTAGTCAGGAGGCGCATGAGGACCATTTCCAGCTGCCATGAGACCCCTGTTCCAGGCAGGATTTCCATTGAAAACATTAATGTGAAATACCAGCTTGCATTGATGACATGCTTTCCTGTTTATCAGGTGCCTTCACACCTACTACCTCACTTAGACCTCACGACAGTCCTGTCTTGCAATTTTGTAGGCAAGGAAAATGAGAATCAGAGAACAGGAGAGGCCTATGCCAAGCTGGCTAGTTGAGAAGCTGCTGAGCTGCTATGGAACCCGAGACCTATGTGCTTTCTACTACTTCAGTTCTAAAACTCCCTCCCCACTGCCACGGCTTTGAGGAAACAGTAAGATCACCTCATGCCACAGCTGAGGGCCCTCAGCAGCCATGCAGATCTGGGCTGCACCTGTCAAAGGCCCCAATCACCTTTTTATTGCTTGGCATAGGGGAGCCTGGGGAGAAAGCCACCATTGTCCCTGGAATGCAATCCCCACATTAGGAGCCCCAGCAGTCTTTAGAACCTGGTGATGACACCGGAGGTAGGCAGTTGGGAGGAGATGACCATCTGCTATCGGTGAGGAGACTGAGATCTGGCTCCTGGCGGGCCTCGAAGGGAGTTGTTAGGAACTGAAGACGGCAGAGCCCGGGCTGCCAGGCTGACTGGCTGAGCTGTCCTCACTTCCTTCTGATGAAAACATCCCTCTCCCAGCCCCTTGCCATGCCCGGTGCCAACGCAGCAGGAACTCACAGGTCCCTGACTTCCTGCCTCTGAGCAGCCAATGATTCAAAGATGCAGGTGCTCAAATGCATTCTGCCTCCTTGTAGGTGGTTGTTTATTTATTTGTGTCCTGCCCAGCCCGGGGGAAGAATGGTTTTCAGTAACCAACCACTCAGAAATGCAATCCTGGGCCAGTGAGGTACATGTTTGTGCCAGGGGTGGTGGGAGACTGGGAAACATGGGCTGCTTTGCTCCCTGACTCGGTTTTCCCCTGTGCAGGGCAACTAGTCATCCAGCCTCATCTATTTAGAAGATGGGTCATGATGGGCAAGGCACATTTGCTGATGCCAGAGGTCCCTGCCGCCCAGTTCAGGGTTGAGAAAGTTGGGGATGAGTCTTCTTCAAGAACAGGAGCACACAAGGCCATGAGGGTTCCTAGCACGCCCTCAGCCTTCAATGCACAGAGCCTGCTAGGCCGGCCCAGGCTCACCCTCCCTGGTTTGACTGCCACTCCAACCACCACCACGATAAGAAGAAGGGGAGATGGCAGAGAGAGGATTGAGATGCAGCACGTGTCTTCCCCAAGATGGACAATGCCTGTCCCCCTTCTTCTGGGAGGGAGCCGAGGGCCCCGCAGCTCTGAACAGCTCAGAGTTGGCCATGGTCACACAGCTCCTGGCAAGAGCCTGCCTGCCAGTTCTCCAGATGCCTCTCCTTTGGCTGGACTGAGGCCTTTAAAAAAGTGACACCTTGTATTTTATTTTATTCATTTTTCTGAAAAGTCCAAAAACGTTTACAGGCATGAGCTCTATAGGCTTTATGGAAGCCCATCAAAAAGCAGGGGTTGTTTCTTCTATCTTTATAGAGCGGAAAATAAAAGAACAGAATATGGAAAAACTCTTCTAAGACCACACAGTTCTCCCCAGAAAGGGGAAAATCCAGCGTAGGCTCCTAGCGCCCAGGGGAGTCTATGCCAAACCAAAGCTGCTTGCTGGGGCGTGGGGCCTCCTCACCAGCTGTAGTCAGTCCTCACACTCTCCAGTAAGTCCGATCCCAGCTGGGACCCTCTGCTTACGTGGGGACCTGGAGGCCTGGAATAAAACAGGGGGAATGCAGCTGAAACACTGGGAAGGAAACCAGCCCGAAGCCTTTCCTGTTGGTTCCCTGAGTCCTGAAATTGCCCAGTAGCCAGGAGCAAGAGTTGGGTCAGTGTGTGCCATGGGATATCCAGGGAATATTCTCTTTGAGGAATGCTAATAGGTGTTCCAGTCTAACATGGTTTAGGGAATAAAATGTTCGGGAAAGGATTAGAGAATATTAAACATATTTCTTCTTAAAAATACTTCATACCTTTCCTGTAACTAATCATTGTGAATGCCTGACGTGGTGTTAGAATGTACTGTTTATCAAAATTATGTGCCCAAGGAACGCTTTTGTGATAGAACATCTTGGGGGTTTGGGTTCCACTGAAGATACTTGGGAAATGCTGGTGTAGGGATGACAAGGCCAGGGCTCTGAAAGAAACAGGGAGTCTGAGATTGGGCAGTGTGAGGCTCTACAGTGGCTTGTTGAGTTCATTAACAAACTTTCCATTCCTCCAGTTTCCCCTTTCCTGAACCTACGGTCTGTACATGTCTTTGTCATAGCCTTGCCATCCATGTATTGATCTTCCTAACTCTCCATTCTACACTTGTGAGTCCTCATCTGTGGGGATTCTTTAACAGCAGGTGTGTATAAGTGGAGACCACATCCTCCTGATGCCTGAGCCCAGCCATCTGGAGCCCATGCTCATGGGTGCTGGCCCAGTGCTTTCTGATGTGATGGTGGCAAAAGGCAACCTAAGCTACTGAGATGGTGCCTGGAATGATTGCAGGTGGGGCGGAGAGACCATGGGAGTGCGGTGAAAAGAGACTAAGAATTTGTGTGTGGGTTTTTTGTTTTGTTTTGTTTTTGCCATGGTCCTGAACCCTACTTAGATAACTGTTGACATGTCATCTAGTTTCCCTGGACTGAGTGTTTCATGTAAAACTTAGGGATTTATACCATAGCTAAGGATTCTTCTAGCTCTATAGTTCCCTGACTCAATACCTCTGCAAATTGCCCTGACGTTCCTCCCTAATTTTTCTCCCTTTTAATTTTCAGCTCTTAACTATTTATTATTTTTTCTTTTTTCTCAGCTCTTAACTATTGATGATAACTTCTGTGGCCTGGATATGAATGCACCCCTGGGCGTGTCCGAGATGGTCCGTGGCATCCCTGTCTTCACGGAGGACAGGGACCGCATGACTTCTGTCATTGCATATGTCTACAAGAACCACTCCCTGGCCTTCGTGGGCACCAAAAGTGGCAAGCTCAAAAAGGTAGGAACAAGGTGCACTCATTTCAGTTACTGTGAAGACAGTCTGTCCCCGCTGGGGCAGATGTTATCTCATGCTCTTTTGCCACCTTGGGCCTGGTGGGTGAGCGGTGCAGGTTGGAGTTACGGAGATACGTTGCTGTTGAGGTTATGAATGATAATCTTGTCTCTTCTCTGCCTTTGTGCTACAGTTGTTGTGGGAATCAATCACACTGGGGGAGTATGCATTCACCTCTTCCCATCCAGCCTCACTAGGCCATCTTAACTGGTGTGTGCGCTCTCTTCAACTTGGGTTTGTGCCTAAGACAAGAGCATAATAGGCCTGGTTGGTTGGGAAGGTGCACAGTGGTAAGGGAGGTGCCTACTCCCCTTGCTTCAGCCCTTCTGGTTTACACTTCCATCTGGAATCCATTCAGGGGAATGGAGGAAAGTGCAGGGCCTATTGCAATTGCTACTGGGGCTAAGAGCCAAATTGTGGGACAAGGAAATGTAGGATGTGTGGTGCACCTTGCAATTGCTTAAGGTGGAGTAGAATGGTGTGATCTGGGGACACAAGCTTTCCTCCTTGTTCTTCAGAGGCCTGCTGGCTTCAGGAGCACCTGGTGATGGTGGCCTATCAGCAGTGCTGAGGCACCTGTCCATCCAGGACTAGTCCCTCATCCAGCTCTGCTCAGGCTTCTTACCTCAATGAGTTGGAGCTGGCTTCCTAGGGTGCCCTCCTTGCTTGGACTACAAGCCTTTCTAAGACTGTAGGTAGGAGGTCCTGTTTTGTGTTGGCTGATAATCGGACTTCAGTCTTGTCCCAGGGAAATATTGGTGACACCATGTGGAGCTCCTTCTGGTCTTATTTTGATTTCCATTGGGATTCGCTGGACAATGTGTGATTCAGACTGAGAAATCCAGCACTACCTGATCTGAGGGAGCCTTGATCCCTACCTTCTTGTTGCTGTATTTCCAGGCATTGGCTCAAGATGGTCAAGGGGAGACGTTCTCTGCACATCTAGAAGGCTGTGCCACTCTTCCATCCTACTGTGTCATAGCCCTTTTCAGCAATTATTTCTTTCTTTAAATGGTACAGCCCTGTGGAACAGGCAGTGGGTCTGGGCTGTGAGAGTGCAGAGGTGAGAGGTGGGGAGCAGGGTGTGCGTGAGCTGGGGGATGAGTGTACAGTAGTTAGTGGGTCATATCTGGAAGGGAAAACAGTGTTGGTGAAACGCTATGTGCGCTGCAAGGAGGATGCAGGCAAAGCATCACGCATCTCACATTGCCTCTCAAGACCTAACACATAGCAAGTGTCAAATTAACAGATAATTTAACCATCGTCTATATAGCTTTAAGAATTATATTTTGTCGTTCCCTGCCTTTCTGTGATGAGTATATTAAACACAAATGAATGTTTTCTTGCTGCATTGGCCTTTTGGTTGTTGATTACTCATGTATTGAGCTAAATGCCATGGACGCCCAGAGACGATGCTGCAAGGCATAGGTGTGTTGTCTCTGCACAACTCCTGTGTCCTTTGCAGCCTTCTGGGTTTTCCCTCCACTCTGCGCTGTCACTCCTCACTTCCGCCCGCTGTCAGGAGTCCTGGTCGACTCCAGTGCCTTTCCTCCTCCTCCACCTGCGGCTTCTAGCTTTCAGTGGTCTAGGAAGGCAGATCCCCAAACTTCCTGGAATTGTGTCTACTCAGCCTCTGAATAAACCAAGAAGGTGCGTGAACGACTTTCAGACCACTGGACTTTGAGGACATTTCCTTTGGCTGCTCCGACGACTGCATTCTGCACCATGACTCAATGAGTTCGGTTTGCTGGAAAAGTGAATTTATAGTTTAAACGGTGAATTCATACATTTGGCCTGCTTTGCCTCTCAATGGCTGAATAAGCGGTATTGAGAATAAAGAAGCAAGGCAATTTGGGGTGCTGTAGCTCTTTTCTCTACTGAGCCCAATCTCAGTGTAATGGAGAAGTAACTTACTCTAAGACACTCAAAGATTCCCATACCCCAAATTTCCTACCAGGTGCCAGAGGATCACTGACTTGCTGGCAAGATCAAGCAGACCCTGTAGAAGGATTATTTTTGCTATTGTCTGAGCAGCTTGGAATATAGTGTCAGTGAAATTAACGTTGAGAGTTCAGTGCACATAACAGAACAGGCAGTTCTATTCCCTTGGGGTGGGGCGGCGGGGCGGGTACGGGGGGGGAGCAGGCATGATTCCTGGCCATGGCTGCATCATAAACCCAGCACAGCCAGCTTGCAGGTGTGTCATGTAGGTTGGAGTGGAGGGGGCTGGGGCTGATGGGGGCTGGCTCTCTCTTGTGGGAGCCTGTATCCTGGTGGGGATGTCAGTGTAGAGCACATCTTCATGACCTTGGGCTGAGGACACCCCTGGAACCTGGGGGAGCAAAGTGCACAGAGACCACCCTCAAGGGGCAGGCTGCGGGAGAGCCTGGCCTTGATGTGTCTCCAGACGTCAGCCAGACCAGCAATGACAGGCGACACCTGACCAGCAGGCTTTATAAACTGTGGGCTGGCATTTCCCATTTTGTATTTGGGGAGGGGTTTGTGTAAGAACAGTTCCGTTTCAGCCACCTGGGATATTACATTTAATTTCCAGAGCAGTGGTGGGCCTGGTGAAGCATAAACATTTGAGAGGTAAGAGCAGAGGTTCATGGTGGGGCAGGTGGGGGGTGATGGGCCAGCAGCCCTCCTGGGGAGGCCTGGCCATCAGAACAGCCAGCCTTTCTGCTCCAAGGGCTCAGAGGGGCAGCCACTCTAACAGTTTTTCTGGAGCCCAGCTCCTGCTGCTGCCGACTCAGCAGCCCGCCCACGGGGACAAGGCTGAGTTGGGAAAGGAAGGCTGGCCCGCCGAGCCTGTTGTTTGAAATAATAAAAAGCAAAACTGGCCAGTTTATTTACTTTTCCTAAACAATAGAATTTCCCACCACCCCTGCTCGCTGCGCACCACTCCCCTTTCCTCATAATCGCTCTGCCTTGCTTTTCCCAGAGGTTATCGGGACCACAGTCACCTCTGGGCAGAGGCCCAGCCACGGAAAGCTCCGGGGCTGCGGGATTCTGCAGGAAGGTTTGTGAGCTGCCGAAAGTGAGAAGAATGGAAATCATACTGTAGCTGTGATTACAGAGCTGGCTTCTCTGAGCCCCATAATAATCTCCTGTGTGTACAGGGGCCTTGCAGAGTTCTTTGCAATATGACAAGGGACTCAAGGTAGGGAGGGTGGGCGAAGGGCGCTTGGGGGTTTGCTGAGAGGTAGGGAGTTTGCTGTGGGTTTCCGGGGTCCAGGAGCTAGACTGTAGCTAGCCATGGGCTGTCCTCAAAATTACTGTGTTGTTTGAAAGCTGTGGGTCCCCATCATTTGCAACCTTGCCTCCCTTGACCATAATTTCACTCCTTTAGTGCACACATCACATAAGGCAAGGGGAAAGGAGGTGAGGAGAGTGCCAATTTGGATGTCTTTTATGTTTTCTGATGTGTGTGTGTTATGGCTGGTATTGGCAGCCTTTCCCATGGTGTGTGTTAAAGGCATGCGCTGTTAAGAAACATGGCACATGAATGCTACAGTCACCAGGAGATGCCTGGGAACTTGGAAATAACCAACAAGCTGTTAAAATGCCAATGACAGGTAAAAATCTTAAGGCAAACACCATCCCAATGTGCTTTAGGTTGTCTGGATAAATCTGGAAACCTTTGACCCAAGTTAGGGTGGTGAGATCTGTGTCGCCTCTGAAGGACAAGATCTCTTTGCTTAAGTATCTTGGCCAGAACCCACCCCTTCCTTTTTCTCTGCTTTTTGCTTTCCTACCACTAAGTGATCGTATTTTATGGCTGCTGTTCGGCAGTAAATTACTGCCTGACATTAGTGGGAGAGACTAATGTTCACGGTGAACCAAAGCATCATAAACTTCCACTTGAGGTGTGATTGCTCCTTTCATTTTGTGACTGCATCTTCCCGGGGTGTTTTGCAAGGTAAACTGTTCACAGCCAAGGGACTGAGCACACTGTGGATGTTGGTTAAGCGGAAGTTGGGTTGGCCTTGCTATCGGCTTCTCGGCTTCTGGTAGGATATGTACAGTGTGTGTGTGTGTGTGTGTGTGTGATGGGGAGGGGAGACCCACCTGGGCCTGTGTCATTCTGACCATATGTTCTCAGGAATGGAGTGTGTGTGTGTGTGTGTGTGTGTGTGTGTGTGATGCTTGAGTCACAGAGCAATGTTAGATTTGAGATGGGCAACCCCCGCTTTGCAACTTCCTTAATGTATCTGACACTTTTCCTGAACATTCACCTGGAGATATGAATGAATTTTAACTGAAGAGGAATTCCTGCCACAGAAAGTGTTCCACATGGCTGAAGGGTCACACAACCACATGGAGACACAGAGCTGGACTCCAGCTGCTGGGGAGCCTGGGATTAGAGCAGAGGCCAGTGTGCTTGGTGCAGGCTTTGGTCAATTAGCTCTGTTGTTGTGAGCTCTTCCAGCCAGAGTGCCAGCCAGTCTGGGTGTGGTTCAACACCAAGAAGAAAACAACAGAATATGGGCGACTCCATGTTGGACAGTTTTCACTGTGGGAAAAGAGCACAATAGCACTTTTGTTTGGTCATTTTTGCCATGTGGTTTTTGCACTTCCCACCCCTGGTTTTGCAAGTATGAAGCCTGTGTAGACCTTAACCTTGGATTAAGTGAGGGGGAGGCTGAGGTTGAGGTGCTGGGGACAGAGGGCACCACAGATGTTCCAGGGGTGCTGTCCTTCTTCCTCTGATCTCACATCTCAGCAGGGACAGCAATGGCTGTTCTGTCATCATTCCTGCAAGCCTGGGGAGCCAGGACTGGCCGGCAGAGCAGCCTGATGTTGACCTGCCCACTTCTCATGGTCCTCCTCCGCCTTCTTTTGGTTTACTGTGCTGGTTTTAAGCCTTTCTGTGCACGATTACCTGTGGGTAGATGTGGAGAATAGGTAAGCTGGTGCATGTCCTCTTGGGCAGATCTTACATT